CCACGCCACGTACTTTGGATTTATTTTTTTTTTTTTTTTTAAAAAGGCATGTCTTGCCGAAACCGGTTTGGCTCAGTGGTAGAGCGTCGGTCTGCGGACCGAAAGGTCCCAGGTTCGATTCCGGTCAGGGGCATGTACGTCGGTTGCGGGCACATCCCCTGTAGGGGGTGTGCAAGAGGCAGCTGGTCGATGTTTCTCTCTCATCGACATTTCTATCTCTCTCTCCCTTTCTCTCTGTAAAAAATCAATAAAGATATATTAAAAAAAAAAAAAAAAAGGCATGTCTTTTCTTCTTTTTCTTAAAAAAAATATTTGTATTGATTTCAGGAAGGGAGAGGGAGAGAGAGAGATGGAGACATCCATGATGAGAGAGAATCATGGATCAAATGCCTCCTGCACGCCCCCTCCTGGGGATGGAGCGCATAAACCCGGGCCTGTGCCCTGACCGGGAATCGAACCCTGACCTCCTGGTTCCTAGGTCGATGCTCAACCACTGAGCCAGGCCGGCCCCAATCGGACTTTCTCATCTCATTCTCCGGGTGTTCACCAGCACCCTGTCCTGGCTATTCCGGCAACACACACACACACATGCACGCACACACACGTGCGCACACAGGCACACACGCGCACACACGTACACACACGCACATGCATACACCCACACACACAAACACGCACGTGTGCACACGCACGCATGCACGCACGCCCATGCATATGCACATGCACACAGAGAGACACCCGCACACGCATGCACACGCACACACACACACACACACACACATACACACACGCTCTCCTGTAACGAGCCCTGTTTCCTGATCTCCAGGCTTCTCTCCCAGATCTAATCAGATATTTCTCCTTCCACGTCTCCTCCCCTCCTCCCCTCCCCTCCTCCCCTCCCCTCCCCTCCTCCCCTCCCCTCCTCCCCTCCCGCCCGCCAGTCCTGCCTCAGTCCCATGTGGGCCCTAGGCCTCACCTGACTCATCACTTTCCATTTCCTGCCGGCCTGCCCGGCCCCCGCCCCCGGGCAGAATCCATTTCCTCCTCTTCTGTATTCCGCCCGCACAGGACACCTCCTCGCCCATCGCGAACATTAGGGGCCTGTCACTGCCGTGTCAGTAACGTGGTGAGAGGCAGGATTCCTCCGTCTCCCATCCTGGCTCCACGCCCGGCCAGAGCACACGCAGATTCGGCTGAACGCCGAGGCCGCTTTGCAAAAACATTCCTGCAAGAGGATTGTGGGACCTCAGGTTCTACAGTTTTTTCTTTTCTTAAATATATTTTATTGATTTTTCACAGAGAGTGAGGGAGAGGGAGAGAGAGCTAGAAACGTCGATGAGAGAGTCATCGATCAGCTGCCTCTTGCACGCCCCCCACTGGGGATGTGCCCGCAACCCAGGTCCATGCCCTTAACCGGAATCGAACCCGGGACCCTTCAGTCCGCAGGCCGACGCTCTATCCACTGAGCCAAACCGGTTTTGGCTCAAGTTCTACAGTTTCTATGAGCCCAAGAGGCCGGACGGGATGATGGGTAAGAAGTCCAGCCCCGGCCCTGGCTGGTTGGCTCAGTGGATAGAGCGTCGGCCTGCGGACTGAAGGGTCCCAGGTTCGATTCCGGTCAAGAGCACAGGCCCGGGTTGGGGGCTCTATCCCCAGTGGGGGGCGTGCAGGAGGCAGCCGATCCATGATTCTCATCATGGACGCCTCCATCTCTCCCTCTCCCTTTCTTTCTAAAATCAGTACACATATGTTTAAAAGAAAAAGGAAAAAAGAAATATCTTTCTTTAAAATAAAAAAACTCCAAAGTACGTGGAATGGCTCACGCATGGCCGTTCATAAGATGGCAGAGTCCAGCCTGGCCGGCGGGGCTCAGGGGCTGAGCATCCACCTAGGAACCAGGAGGTCAGGGTTCGATTCCCGATCAGGGCACAGGCCCGGGTTGTGGGCTCCATCCCCAGTAGGGGGCCTGCAGGAGGCGGCGGATCCATGATTCCCTCTCATCACGGGTCTCTCTCTCTCTCTCTCTCTCTCTCTCTCTCTCTCTCTCTCTCTCTCTCTCTCTCTCCCTCCCTCCCCCTGCCTCTCTCCCCGGGGCCCCTCGATCTGTCGCTCCCACCACCTTCTCCGCGCCCCTCAGCGCCGGCTGTCACCACGCTCCTCCGGTAACAGCTAGGCCGTCCCCCGTCCCCCGTCCCCCGTCCACCGGGGTAATTGCTCCCTCGGTCCCGCCCGGCCGGCCCTCTCCTTCCGTCCTCCCTCCCTGGCTCCCCGCCAGCTCCCGGCCTAATCCGCTCCTGCACCTGCTCAGCCGGTCCGGGCTGGAGACAGGCCGGGCTCTGTTCAAGTTCACGGCCACCGCCTTCCAGCGGCCCCTTCCGGCCGGCCAGGCTGCCATCACTCCCCGCCCACCACGCCCGGGGCCTCTGCTGGCCTCGGTGTCCTGCTCCTTCTCGCCAAACCTCCCCGTCCTCACCTGCAGACCGCCCGGCTCCTGTCCACACGGGGGACACTGGGGGGTCGGGAGGGGGTTCGGCCAGCCCCCCCGCCCCCCCACCGGCCCACCCCACAGAGGAAGGAAGGAACCCGGCTCATGTCCGCTTCTGGGACGTGAACTGGGGACTGGCCCCCGCCCCCTGCCCAGGCTGTCAGCTCCTCCCCCCTCCCCTCCCCTCCCCTCCCCGCTCAGCCTCTCTCTAATGCGTTCCCACCAGCAGACACGCAGGGTCCCTCTCATTGTGGCTGAACGTTGTCCCTCACTCCAACATGTGCCAGGCGTTGCAAATCGCAGGCCTATCCTCCCTGGTTTTTGTTTGTTTGTTTGTTTGTTTATATATTTTATTGATTGTTTACAGAGAAGGAAGGGAGAGGGAGAGAGAGCTAGAAACATCGATGAGAAACACCCATCAGCTGCCTCTTGCACACCCCCCACCTGGGAATGTGCCCGCCACCAAGGTCCATGCCCTCGACCGGAATCGAACCTGGGACCCTTGAGTCCGCAGGCCGACGCTCTATCCACTGAGCCACACCGGTTTCGGCATATATATATTTTTTAATTATTATTTTCTCGAGTACTCAGGAAGGGCAAGCACCGAAGAAACACATTCAGAGTCCCGAGAACACGTGTCAGCGAAATGTTTAATGTCTGCCACCCGTAAATGTTACATCATTTACATAGGGCTCATTTGTATAGAATAAAAACTCCGTCGTCGTCATCATCGTGAAAAAAGAACGCTTCCTGGAAAGGGTGAGATGCTGGCGTGTTTCACATCCGCTTTGGGTGTACAGCTCGATAGCAACCGTTTAAAAAAAAAATCCTTTCTCCCGATACCCCCCTTTTTACAACTTAAATCAAACACCAACCCCATTCCCACAGGATGCATGCCCTCCTCCCACGGGCACCTGTGTGTGTGTGTGTGTGTGTGTGTGTGTGTGTGGCGTGTCCTGTGACATGAACTCAGCAAGGACTGGGTCCAGAATCTTTTGGGATACTCCTGTCAGCCGCCCCTGGCATAGCCAACATGGCACACGTACAGAGCGTCCGGCCACATGACCTTGACTGTCTACTAAAGAGGCTGAGATGTTTACATGCTACCGTGTTTCCCCGAAAATCAGACATCCTCCGAAAATAAGACCTACGTACAGGCTTCCTTCTGAGTGAAATAGAAGGCATCCCCCTGAAAATAAGCCCCCCCCCCTCAGCTAACCATGAGAGATGTGGTCCACTGATTCTGAAAGAAATGGAGTCACAAGAAATTCACCAGGAAATTCAGGAATTGGATGGTGAGGATGATTTTCCAGAAGAGGATGACATGATTGTCATTGAATAAATGAGTACATTCTTGATCCTGTAGGATTCATGGTTTATGTTGACAACTACTGTACCATATACAGGTAATACATTTCCTTTATTTTCATTTCACAATCAATGTGTACCGTGTTCTTCTTCATGGGAAAATAAGACATCCCCTGGACATAAGACCGAGCGCAGCTTTGGGAGCAAACATTAATATAAGACACTGTCTTATTTTCGGGGAAACGGGGTACTGAGTCCATGTGGCTGTCCTTCGGGGCTCCTTTGGGTGTGTGTGTGTGTGTGTGTGTGTGTGTGTGTGTGTGTGTGTGTGTTTTCTTTCCGTCGAGACACGAGAAGCTCCAGAGCCCAGAAGCCCATCGCACCCTAGACTACCCGCCACGGTCAAGGTCTGTCTCCTTCGTCTCCCCGGAGACGGGCGTGCAAACGCGGCCTCCGCGGCCGTGCGTGTCTTTCCCAGAAAGGTGACTGCTCGCGGAGAAGGAAATGTTTATTGGCGAAAGCTACGGATCATACAGGAAACAGCAAAGAGGGAGGCGTCTTCACACAGGGCGGCCCCGTGGGCATGGCGGGCGGAGAGGCACATGCAGAGTTCCGATTCGGAAGGGGAGAACAAGGAGACGAGAAGATCGGGGTGCGGGGCAACGGGGACCCGGGGACTGGGGGGGTTTGGGGAGAGGGCCTGACCCCTGCTTTCTCCCGTGAGCCTTGGTGTGTGGCTCTGACATGATCATGGAAGAAACCATTCATGGGGAGGGGCCAGGGCTCAGGAGTAAGCAAGCAGGCGAGGCAGGGGTGGGGCGGGGCGGGACTGTGCTTGGACTGGCTTCAGAGGTGGGGTGTGCATACCGCAGACATGTAGCTCTGCATATACAGGGGTCTGTCCCGTTTCACGTTAAACCACATCATGTGAAGCCCCCGCCCCACCCCGTGTTTATGTGTGTGTGTGTGTATGTGTGTGTGTGTTCGGCGTCGTAAAGAACAGAGTTTTTGTTCCACCATCAGGATGTGTTATTTAAGTTTCTCTCTCTTGCTCTTTTTTTTTTTTTTTTTTTTCCTTTTTGGCTCAATAGGTATTTATTTTTATTTTTATTTTTTAAGAGTGTGTGTGATTAGCCATAACCTAAGATTTGTCTTTGTCTTCACTGCTGTGGATTTTCCGATCAAACTTGCCCCTTCTTTTAATACTTTAGGGAATTTTCAAACGTCGGGATGTTTGGCTGTAATACCCCAAGATTTGTTCTCCCTGAAAAAAATCACAGTGACAATGTATTAACTGCAAAGCTTTTCAGGGTTCTTCCATTTCTGGTTAGATTTACAAACATCCATTTGGTGCTCAAAGAGACCTGCTATCAAATCTCAGTCATATGTAAGGTTTCTTTTCCATGCAATCAATCACTTTATCGATTCGTTATCGCTCTCTTTTTTTTTTTTCTTACAAAAAAAAAAAAGATTCTAAAAAGATTTAGAATTCTAAAAAAAAAAAAATTCTAGAAGATTCTCAGACTCAAATCTCTGGGGCATTACCGCTACCCTAAGATAATAGACGCAGAGGCAAGTCCAACGGCATGACTATGTACATTGCAAGCGATTCAGAAGTCTGGAGGGCTTAGCACTCTTTGTTTGTTTGGCTATTATTTTATTTTATTTTTAAAAAGCATCTGTATTCACTCCTTTCATAGCTTCTACCTCGAGTGTTGGAAACACGTTAAGCTTTCGACAAAGCTTGTGGGAAATAAAACTCTTTCGATTCAGCACGGTTTGTTCACACAAATTTAATAGGATAAATCACAATTGTTTGGTCCAATAAATATTTGAGGGGTTGGGGGGGGATAAGTTTCTATACAATGCAATTTTTTTTAAAATCCATAACAAAGGAACAGGGACAGCGCTAGTCCACGCTCACTGTACTACCCACACGAATATAGAAAGGTTATTGGATTCCGTCAAAGAGAGTGCACACCGCTTTCTACCGACAGGTCCGTCCCTCCAGCCGGGTAAACCGTAAAAAAAGGGTTTTCAGAAACCAGAGGTCAGACGGGACAAAACTAGTGAGGCGTCCAAAGGGTTTCCCAACAGCCAACCAACAAAACACCAAGCATCCTGATCATTCATGTTTTTCTTCTCCACAAAAACAAAACAAAGCAACAAAAAAAAACACACAGAAAACTGATTTCCGCGTGAGAGCGTTAAGGCACATAGGGAGAAACTGAGTTAGTTATCGTCCGCCTGCTTCCCGGAGCAGACCTGACATAGTACCATAGGCTGTTCCTTCAGAGAACAGCGTGTGTGTGTGTGTGTGTGTGTGTGTGAAGTGTCGCTGTAGACGTGTCGGAAGGACATCTCTCAGCCTTAGCCAAGGGTATGTTTGGTCTGGTGAGTGGTAAATGCCCCCCCCACAAAAAAAAAACGTAATTAAAAAAAAAACAAAAAACCAAAAACAGGGAAAAAATCAAGACTCCCGCCCCGTCGGAGATGACGCCATGAATATATCCTAAATCACACCTCTCTTCGGTTACAGTGTTCACGCAACCTCCCGTCCCTCTTTCCATTTAATTTTTAAGTTTTATTTTTATTTTAAAAAATAGGCTACTTTTCTGTGCTAGTTTTCTAAAGACCCTGAGCAAAAAGGTACAATAATGCACTTTAGATGTGGGCAGTGAGCTGTCGATGGGGAAACCACACGTCTAGAATACAGGCAGGACACCTTTGGGGAGGGGGGGATACCTAGGAAACGGACCACCAGAGAGGAGGAGATTGGAGGGGGTCCAAGAAGGTGGGGACATGTGCAAAGTTAGTCTTCACCATCCGCTAACGCAACACCTAGATCTTGACTCCTTTCTTTTGTTTTATCTTTTATTATTATTTATTATTATTATTATTGGGAAATCCACATTCTACTTGGTATTTCACTACCACGGCAGTCTACCGATGGACACTCACCACTGCCCAGACCCACACGATATTTAGCTTAAATTAAAAGGAGAACAAAACAAAAGAGGCTGCTGTACACTAGGAAATATGGTCAGATCAGGCTCCACGAGGCCTCTGAGTTTATCTGCGTTAATAACGGTTTTTAAAACGTCTCAGGTCAGAAAGGTATGGACCTGTGCCGAAATAAAATAAAAACAGAACTAATCAAGGAATTCTCCTCGTTGGCATTCGGCTACAAAGTTGGTTTTTGTTTGTTTTGGTTTTTGGTTTTGGTGATTTTTTTTTTAACGTGGAATGCCAGACACACTATCATGGTCCAGCTCAAAGCCAATGCCTCAAGCTATTCATGACGTTGACGCTGATTTATTTTTTTTCAGGCTCCTTAAAAAATTATATTTTGCTCATTTCCACGTTCCCTGTGGGGGGAGAAAACATTCACTGGGGAAGAATAGTTTTTCCAACGACCATTGGGGCAGCTTTTGGAAGGCTAAGAAAATGCAGGATTTCCAGCGCTACTGGGGGTGCGTGGGGAGTTGGAGGATTGTTCAGAGCGGCTAACGGGCGCTTTGGGAAGCCGTACGACCGACCGACCCTTCAGGGGACCGAGCGTCCCATTCCTGGGGGACCCGTTCGACCTCATAAATCTAACGGTCTCTCCTACCCGAGCTGCCGCTGAATTGTTCTCCTCCTTCGCAAGAAAAAGGAGTGTCCAAAACATTCTTTCTTTTTTATCAGTTTTAAAAAAAAATTTTTTTTTTTTTAAAACGGGACGTTTTCAAAATTCCCTAAGATTAAAATCACACACATCGGCAAGATTCCCTAATGAGTGATGGACGGATATTTGATTCCCCTAATCACTGGGGACTTAGGACTATTTTCTCCCCTTTTCTCAAAAGACCACTCTCTCTTTTTTTCCCCCCCTTCTGAGATTTCTGGAAATAAGGAACATACCATTTTAAGAGGCACTTGGATGATTCAAAAAAAATCCCTTGCCGACTAAATGATCTGATTCCTTAAAAAAAAAAAAAAATCCAACTACACTTGTAGACAAAATAATAATAATAATAAAATAATAAATACACTTTGTCAACGGGACGGTAAACTCATTCGCCACGTGGCTGCTGATGCTACACACCCAGCTGTTTTCATTTCCCAACTTATCTTTCGGGTCAGGAGGGAGGGGCGGGCAGGGGGTGGGGAGATCTTGGCAATAATAAAATAATAATAAAATAATAATTAGGATCAGAATCCAAAGAAGAGGAAGCATTTTTTTAAAAAAAACAAAACAAAAAACAAACAAACCAACAACCATAAAAAAAAGCAGGAAACCACTGTTAGAAAAGGCTGGTGAGGGTGGTCTGTGGGGGGCTGGCGGGCTCCTGGCTGTCCATGTTAGAGGTCACGGCCGCCCCCACGGGGAGCATGGGGTTGGCCAGGTCCGTGAGGGCGGCAGCCGGGCCGGGCGGGGTGAGCGCGCCGCTGTCCGAGGGGGCCGGCGCCGGGAGCGAGGGGCCCTCGGCCTTATCCACACCCCCATTCTCCTGTCGCAAAAGGTTCCTCCTGAATTTGGCTCGTGCGTTTTGGAACCAAACCTGCAAACCAATCCCAAGGGATGTCTTTACCGAGGTTTCATTTTAGACTCTTTTTTTTTTTTCTGTCTCTGTCTTTCCTTTTTATTTCCCATTCCTTCCTTCCTCCTTCCTTCCTTCCTCCTTCCTTCCTTCCATTCTTTCTTTATCCTCACAATTCTGGAGGGTAAATGGTATTGTCCCTTTTTTAAACATTTTTTTATTTTATTTTAATGGGTTTGTATTGATTTCAGAGAGGGAAGGGAGAGGGAGAGACAGAAACATCCGTGATGAGAGAGAATCAGGGACCGGCTGCCTCCTGCACGCCCCCCCTCCCCCACTGGGGATGGAGCCTGCAACCCGGGCCTGTGCCCTTGACCCGGAATCAAACCCTGACCTCCTGGTTCACGGGTGGATGCTCAACCACAGAGCCACGCCGGGCAGGCTGCTTTAAAAAAATAAATAAATTAAAAAAATTATATATATATATATATATATATATATATATATATATATATATATATATATATCTTTTTAAAAATAATTGTTTCTGCCCTAGCCGGTCTGGCTCAGTGGGTAGAGCGTCAGCCTGCGGACTGAAGGGGTCCCAGGTTCAATTCGGGTCAAGGGCATGTGCCTCAATCCCCCAGTAGGGACCCAGCAGGAGGCAGCCAGTTCATGATGTTTCTCGCTCATCGACGTTTCTATCTCTCTATCCCTCTCCCTTCCCCTCTCTCTAAAAACTAAATAAAAACATCTTTTAGCCCGGCCGGCGGGGCTCAGCAGTTGAGCATCGACCCGTGAACCAGGAGGTCAGGGTTCGATTCCCGGTCGGGGCACAGGCTCGGACTGTGGGCTCCATCCCCAGGGTGGGGGCGTGCAGGAGGCAGCCGATCCGTGATTCTCTCTCATCATGCATGTTTCTGTCTCTTCCCCTCCCTTCCTCTCTGAAACCAATAAAAATATTTTTTAACAACATTTTTTAAAAAAAATAAAATAATGTTTTCTTCTTGGGAGAGAAGGGCCATTTTAGTTGCCTTTTTTTGTGTTTTGGGTTTTTTTTTTTAAACAATAGATTCCTGCGGTGAACACTATAGATATCCTATCGACTGCATCATCTACCCCCTTCCCCAGGCTTAACGGGGCCCACAGGGGCCGCCTGAGCTTCCAGGGGAGACGCCCCGAACAGGAGGGCCGGGAGAGGAAGGGGGCAGGGCCCCCGGACCCCTCGGGCTGCTGTCTTTTGAGGAGGAGAGGCGAGCGGGTCACAGCGGAGCCTGGCTCTCTCCTAGGAACCAGCATCCTTCCCTCGGAGCTCGGGCGTCCTGGGGACGGACACACGGAAGGAGAGCCTTCGGGAGTCCACCAGGCAGCCCCCCACGGGGGTGGGGGCGGGGGTGCCTGCCCTGTGTCCCCGAGAAAGAGGGAGGAGGCCCCAGGCACCATCCCCGCCCCCTGTCTGGCCTGGGAGTTTCTAGAAAAGTGGTTCCTTCCCGTGAGAAATGCCCGCTCCGATGGGCTGCTGAGAGGCTCACCTACTGTGGCTTTGGGGAAAAAAGGGAAAAGGGGGAAAAAGAAAGAAAGAAAGAAAAGGGGATGCACCGGACCTTGGAAGGTCCTGACACAACGCGGGAGCCGGCTGCCGAAGGCTCGCTGAGAAGCCAGCCGGGCAGGGGCCCCGCAAGGCTGTGCGGGAGCCCTCGGCGGCCACAGCGCCAATAAAAATATGGAAATAATAAAAACAAAAACAAAACAGAAAGCCACGGCTCCTGCTCTCAGACGAGGGAGGCAGCTGTGCTGGCTGGGAAGACCCCGCTCCCCGTCTCTGGGGTCCGGGGGACGCACCTGGCTGCATTGGTTATTTTTTAATTTAATTTAATTAATTTTATTTTATTCTATTTTATTTTTTTAAAGATCCTGCTCTCTCTTGGGGCACCTTCCTGGGAGAGCCCCCCCTGAGACACCTCAGCACCCCCTCTCTGAGCATCACCACCGGACACGGTGCCGGCGATCCCTGGCTCCCTGGCCAGGGCAGACAGGCGGGCGGAGGGCAAACTGGGGGCGCCGGGCAGAGAGGGGGTGCGCCGGGGCGGCCTTACCTGCAGCACTCGCTTGGTGAGGCCTGTCTTCTGGGCCAGCTGCTTGAGGTCCTTGGCGTCCGGGTTGTGGTTGATGGCGAAGTAGGACTTCATGGTCCGCAGCTGGTGGTGCTTGAAGGAGGTGCGCATGCGCTTGGTCTTCTGTGAGGGCGGGTAGGGCGGCGGGTCGCGGTCCAGGGGGTCGGCCTCGTTCTCGTTGCAGCCTGCAGGGGGGAGGTGGGCAGGCAGGGGCTCAGTGTGAGCCCCCGGGGGTGGGAGGAGGGGATGGAGGGATGGGTGGATGGATGGATGGGTGGATGGATGGGTGGGTGGGTGGATGGGTGGGTGGATGGATGGATGGATGGATGGATGGATGGATGGATGGGTGGATGGATGGGTGGATGGATGGGTGGATGGATGGGTGGGTGGATGGATGGGTGGGTGGATGGGTGGGTGGGTGGATGGGTGGATGGATGGGTGGGTGGATGGGTGGGTGGGTAGATGGATGGATGGATGGATGGGTGGATGGATGGATGGATGGATGGGTGGATGGGTGGGTGGATGGATGGGTGGATGGGTGGATGGATGGGTGGATGGATGGGTGGATGGGTGGGTGGGTGGATGGATGGGTGGGTGGGTGGATGGATGGGTGGGTGGATGGATGGATGGATGGATGGGTGGATGGGTGGGTGGATGGATGGGTGGATGGGTGGGTGGATGGGTGGATGGATGGGTGGATGGGTGGGTGGGTGGATGGATGGGTGGGTGGGTGGATGGATGGGTGGGTGGATGGATGGATGGATGGATGGGTGGATGGGTGGGTGGATGGATGGGTGGATGGGTGGGTGGATGGGTGGATGGATGGGTGGATGGGTGGGTAGGTGGATGGATGGGTGGATGGGTGGATGGATGGGTGGATGGATGGGTGGATGGGTGGATGGATGGATGGATAGATGGATGGATGGACCACAGGCCTGGCCAGAAGGATGGAGCAGGAGGTCAGGGGTTTGATTCCCCATCAGGGCATCTGCCCAGGTTATAGGTTCAGGCCCCATGAGTTTAAGCTTAAAAAACGTGGCTCTCATCCTAGCCGGTGTGGCTCAGTGGATAGAGTGTCGGCCTGTGAACTGAAAGTCTGTGGGTTTGATTCCGGTCAAGGGCATATGCCTGGGTTGTGGGGTCGATCCCCAGTGGGGGGTTGTGCAGGAGGCAGCCAATCGATGATTCTCTCTCATCATGGATGTTTCTATCTCTCTCTCCCTGTCCCTTCCTCTGTGAAATATATATAAATAAATGTGGCTCTCCAAAGAAATGTCAATCGTTGTCCTGTTGATGTCTGGCTCTGTGGATGAATAAGTTTGCCAGTAGGGGGCGTTCTCTCTCATTTTTTTTTTCTAAATATATTTTATTGACTTTTACAGAGAGGAAGGAAGAGGGATAGAGAGTTAGAAACATCGATAAGAAACATCCATCAGCTGCCTCCTACTGGGGATGTGCCCACAACCAAGGTCCATGCCCTTGACCAGCATCGAACCTGTGACCCTTCTGTCCGCAGGCCGATGCTCCGTCCACTGAGCCACACCGGCTGGGGCTCTCATCGCTGTTTCTGACTCTCTATGCCTTTCCCTGCCTCTCTGTAAAAAATCAGTAAAACAGCCGAAACCGGTGTGGCTCAGTGGGTAGAGCATCCACCTGCAGACTGAAGGGTCCCGGGTTCGATTCCGGTCAAGGGCATGTACCTTGGTGGCGGGCACATCCCCGGTGGGGGGTGTGCAAGAGGCAGCTGATGGATGATTCTCTCTCATCGACGTTTCTAGCTCTCTATCCCTCTCCCTTCCTCTCTGTAAGAAAAACCAATAAAATATATATTTTTAAAAAACCAGTAAAACATATATGTTTTTAAAAGATATTTTTAAAAACTGAAATGAAAAATAAATCGCAGTGGTAACGGCCGTCTATCCCATGAGGAGGGTCTCCAGGCAACCAAACATCTCCGCGGCCAGCGCCAGCCCCGCCAGCCCGGTGTGGTGCCCAGGACCGCGGCTGATGTCATAGGAACGTTCCGGGGCCTCTCCCCTTTGGCTGACCGGTTGCCAGGACGATGCACTTGCGATGGATACCTTCTGCGAGTGTGGAAGTGAGAGGGACCTCCGAAAGGGAGAGAGAAATAACCCTTTCCTCGTGTCTTCCCGTCCCTCCGTGCACACACAGCTTAGAGGGACTCTGCATCTCCACTTGGTCTCTATTTCCCGTGGTCGGCAAACCGCGGCTCTCGAGCCACAGGCGGCTCTTTGGCCCCTGGAGGGTGGCTCTTCCACAGAACGCCACGGCCCGGGCGGGTCTGTGTGGAAGACGTGGCCTTAGGAGAAGGTCCGGAGACACGTCCACTGTGGTGCTGTGGGCATTGGGCTCATGGACACATGAGTTTGCCCACCACTGGGCCCAAGCGTTTGCTCATTTTAATGAGCTCGAATCTGAGAGTTTCAGGAGCCACCAGCCAAGTCTTTTCCTTTTCTTTTCTTTTTTAATACATTTCACTGATTTTTTTACAGAGAGGAAGGGAGAGGGAGAGAGAGCTAGAAACATCGATGAGAGAGAAACATCCATCCGCTGCCTCTTGCACGCCCCCCCCACTGGGGATGTGCCCGCCACCAAGGCACATGCCCTTGACCGGAATCGAACCCGGGACCTTTCAGTCCGCAGGCCGGCGCTCTATCCACTGAGCCACACCGGTTTTGGCTTGGAGCTGCTTTATTACGTGTTCCTGGGAGGCATGAGCCCAGACCTGTCTGCACGGGGCCCAGGCCTGAGTTCCCACAGGCCCCAGCTCCTCCCAGCGCCTCCCAGCTCCCAGCTCCCAGAGAGGCAGGGAGAGGGACAGAGAGCTAGAAACATCCATAAGAGAGAAGCATCGACCAGCTGCCTCCTGCACACCCCCCACTGGGGATGTGCCCGCCACCAACGTCCATGCCCTTGACCGGAATCGAACCTGGGACCCTTCAATCCGCAGGCCAATGCTCTACCCACTGAGCCACACTGATCTCAGCTCTACTTATCTCCGGACTGTACGTCACCCCGGATTATCAATGGACCCGCAACACAACGGTCCTCGGGGCCTGTCTTAGTCGCCTCGGCTTCCGCCCATGAGATTGCATTCCTGTCGCACACAACTCGCCGGTTCCCTTGACCAGCGCCCCGAATGGGATTCTACCTGTGGGCCAGGAGACCTCACCGGTCTCACCGCGCCCTCTGCTCCCGCCCTCTCCCCCGGAGCCCTGTGTCTTAGACACGAGCGCGATTCCTGGCCGATCTGCGTGCTCCTGAGCCTCTCAGACGCCCGTGGACAGAGACGATGCGGGGAGACCTGGAAAAATCGCCGCTGCTCCCCACGACCGGCGGGTCTGTAATCGGCAGAGCGTGTCAGGGCGTCCGAGGCCCCGACGGGTCCTGTCCCCACACAGAACACAGGCCCGCGGGCACGGGGGTGGCCGGCGCCCTGTGGCACAGGCAGGCGACTCCCTGTGATTCTCTGTGGCTGTGTTATCGCTTCCATCAGCCGTCGGCAGACTCCGGGGTCCACTGAGCCAACGAGCCACGGCACCACGACGGACATCTCTCTGGAGAGCCACCTGGTTTAGACGCAAACGTCTCCTAATGCAGCTTCTTCTAAGCTGACCCGCCCAGGCCGTGGTCTTTTGTGGAAGAGCCGCCCTCCAGGGGCCCGAGAGCTGCAGGGGGTGGCTCGGGAGCCGCCGTTTGCCGACCACGGACGCAATGACGTAAGTCTTACATCTTCCATCTACCGTGTTTCCCCGAAAATCAGACATCCTCCGAAAATAAGACCTACGTACAGGCTTCCTTCTGAGTGAAATAGAAGGCATCCCCCCGAAAATAAGGCCCCCTCCCCTAGGCTAACCATGAGAGATTTGGTCCACTGATTCTGAAAGAAATGGAGTCACAGGAAATTCACCAGGAAATCCAGGAATTGGATGGTGAGGATGATGTTCCAGAAGAGGATGACATGATTGTCATTGAATAAATGAGTACATTCTTGATGCTGTAGGATTCTCAGTGTGTCTGGTTTGTGTTGACAACGACTGTCCTGCCATACCGTAGACAGGGAATAAATGTCCTTTATTTTCATTTCACCATCAATGTGTACCGCATTCTTCTTCATGGAAAAATAAGACATCCCCTGGACATAAGACCTAGCGCCTCTTTGGGAGCAAACATTCATATAAGACCCTGTCTTATTTTCGGGGAAACAGGGTATTTCACCTGCAGGCTAGCTCAGCACACGATCCAAAACCGCCTGCTCGCACGTGTAACTGCAGATACACTCGTCCTTAAACCCGCACGCGATGGCGGGTCCCCCGGGCCTCCTTTAGAAGCCGTGGCGGGGGGTCCCCCCTCCTCCCGGCCCCCCGGTTTACGGGACGCGATGATCTCTCTTTTAAAACCGTCTCCACCACACGCACATCTGGCGCCGCGTAAAGGGAAGCTCTGACTATTTTATTGTTGCGGTCGCTGGCAAAACCGAGGGAACCTTCTGGCCGTAACCGCTCCCGGGGAGACCACTAGGGGTCAGTGCCAAGCCGAGGCAGCAGCCGCCGGGCGCTTCTGAACCGGGGAGGTTTGGAAACAGAGGCCGAGGGACCCTCGATGAATGAAGACGGAGCATCCAAACCACAGCGGCCTGCCCTCCACCACCACGTCTCAGGCCAGGAGGGAGAGAGAGGGAAGGCTCATGTCAATCCAGCATCCCACATCCATTTCCCAGCCGATTCCTTCAGGGCCTGCCTCTCTGCACACCCAGGGGGCCGGGGGAGCACCAGCCTGCTAAGATTCCCGTGAGAGGCATCTGTCCGCCTTCTCTCCATCGCCAGCCCGTCCCCGCCCAGCCTCCCGCGCTCATTAGCGGGACTCAGCTCCGTGTTTGGAAAGGATGCTGTTTGTTTGGCATCAGCGGGCCTCCCTCCCGGAAGGAAGCAGAGATGGCAACGCCAGACCCCAGGGGAGCCAGGGCCGAGGAGGGTGAGTGCCAGCCAGGGCTTCGTCTCCCTTTCTCCCCCCGGACGTGCTGGGTTCGCCCCAAGCCTTCCTGTCGCAGGCTCTGGGACACACCGCCCGAACGCAGGGATGTTTTTGTAAAGGGGGGGGGGGGTGATGGGAGCCCGTTTCTCCGGCTGATGGGAGAGAAATGGGGGCTGTGTGCTCGCTCATCTCTCCGGGGAGGGTGGGGGAGTCCGGGATGGATGGGCGATGGGGCGGGCGGATGCAGAGGCATCTGGGCCCGAAGCGGGCAGACTGGGGGGGACGGGAGGGGGGGAGAGAAAGGCCCCAGCGTCTCTCTTCTCCTCCTCCTGCAGCCCCCCCACCCCACAGCCCTGAGGCTGGCCGCACCAGTTTGCAAACGGAGGACCCAAAGGGAAGGAAGCTTCCGTTCTTTTAAAGAAAAACAGACGGAGCAGAAGGAGAAGCGACATTCTACCGGGCTTAGAGCACCCACATCCCCCTCACGGGAAGGGAGGTGCCAAGCAGAGCCACAGTCAGGCCCTGGCCGGTGTGGCTCCGTGGATAGAGCGTCGGACTGCAGACTCAAGGGTCCCGGGTTCGATTCCGGTCAAGGGCATGGACCTTGGTGATGGGCACCTCCCCGGTAGGGGGTGTGCAGGAGGCAGCTGGTCGATGTTTCTCTCTCATCGATGTTTCTAGCTCTCTATCCCTCTCCCTTCCTCTCTGTAAAAAAAAAACCAATAAAATATATTTTTATAAAACAACAACACATCCAGCCAATTTGATTCAATCAATGAGGGGAAACTAGGCTGGCTTCTGTTTAGCGAGAATTGCCCTTCACCCTTCAGGAATTCCTGCTGGTCGGTCTCTCTCTCTCTCTCTCTCTCTCTCTCTCTCTCTCTCTTTCTCTCTCTCTCTCAGTGGGGCGCTGGAGCCTGGGTGAGTGGCTCCGGATTCCGATTCCGATATCTCATTCCATGAATAAAAGACAATTTCCACCCAAGCTGCCTGGCCGGGGACCCCACACCGGGTAGCACCAATGAAGCGTGGATAAAGGCATCCAGACCAGAGAGAGCGCAGCGGGGAGAGCAGGGAGCTGAGACCCTCTGCCTACCGGGGTTCGGCAAAACCAGGGTCACCCGCCACCCGGACACAAACTGCCCTGGTGGGCGCCTCTTCCTTCACCTCGTGGCGCCTCTTCCTTCACCTCGTGGCCCTGGCGCGAAACCACAGGGACCACTGCACTGTGCTGGGCCCCCCCATTCTCCGTCTCTCCCAGAGGGTCCAACCCTGGAAACTCTGGGCGTCCCCACCCGCCCCCTCCTGCCCCTGACCTTGGACAAGCCACTGCTCCGATGGGTGGGACACAGCTGAGCCAGAAGAAAGAGGAGGAAGAGAAAACTAGAGGCATCTATGTGCGTTCTGGGGTGCCGAGTCCCTCCTGATATTCCCGCGCGCACGGTAACAGAGTGCGGTTGCCACCCTGTGGCCTCCAAGGTCCCTCCCAACAGAGCGACTCCCCGAGTCCCCCATCCTCCTGGGCTCCGGCCTGAGCTGGACCAGAGTCTGAGAAGCCACATCCACAGGGCGGGTTGGCCCAGGGCGACAGGAACCCCCCTTTCCCAGCGGCTGGGGCCTCCGTCCTAGGCAGAGTGCCATGGGGTCCCCAGGCCTGACCCCACCCCCATGTGGGGGTGGAAGGGGGGTGCAGCCACACACAATAGGGAATGGGCGCGGGAGAGAGACAGATGCTGGTCCCTGTGTCCCCCACGCAAGGGAGCGGGGCGCTCTGTGGTCTGTGCCTCCCCATCCCCACCCTCACCCCACCCCGTGGGCCTCACCTGCAATCCTTCTCCCCCATCCCGGCCAGGCCTGGACCCCAACTTCCCTCGGGAGCCAGCTCACCCTCCACCGGCTCCCACCGCACCCGCCCACCAGCGGCTTGTCCCCAACCTCAGGGCTGGGGATCGACGGACTGCAGCCCCTGCCTCCAGCCCCCGGGGCCTCCGGCGGTTGGCTCCGATGATTTTTTTTATTTCCCTGCTGCATTTAGGAGAGCCTTCTCCGGGGCCTATAAAGCAGCTTCCACCCCGGAACCGCCCGGCCCGTTGGGCTGGAAGTGGGAGCCAGACGTTAATGGGCTCGTTAACTAACTAACGACCAGGACTCTACCAGCCCTTGGGGGGGGGGGGACGACAGACGCCATGGGAATTGTGGGTGCCCGTGTCTTTTGTGGCCACGGCTCACACCAAGGGTCCTCTCTCTCCCCCTCCCTCCTCCCTCCCTGTCTCTCTCCAAGTCCTCCCTCTCCTTCTCCATCTCCATCACCCTATCTCCCTCTCCTCTATCCCTATCACTCCCTCTCCCTCCTTCCATCCTCCCTCTCCTCCTCCATTTCCTTCAGTCCACAGACCGACACTCCACCACTGAGCCAAACCGGTTTCGGCTTCCTCCTCCATTTCCATCACCCCCTCTCCCTCTCCTTCTCCATCCCTATCACTCCCTCTCCCTCCTTCCATCCCTATCCTCCCGTCCTCCCTCTCCTCCTCCATCTCCATCACCCCCTCTTCCTCCTTCCATCCCTATCATCCCATCCTCTCTCTCCTCCTCCTCCATTTCCATCACCCCATCTCCCTCTCCTTCTCCATCCCTATCACTCCCTCTCCCTCCTTCCACCCCTATCCTCCTGTCCTCCCTCTCCTCCTCCATCTCCATCACCCCCTCTCCCTCTCCCTCCTTCCATCCCTATCATCCCATCCTCCCTCTCCTCCTCCATTTTCAACACCCCCTCTCCCTCTCCTTCTCCATCCCTGTCACTCCCTCTCCCTCTCTCTCCTTCCATCCCTATCCTCCCGTCCTCCCTCTCCTCCTCAATCTCCATCACCCCCTCTCCCTCTCGTTCTCCATCCCTGTCACCCCCTCTCCCTCTCCTTCTCCATCCCTATCCTCCCATCCTCCCTCTCCTCCTCCATCTCCATCACCCCCTCTCCCTCTCCCTCCCGCCATCAGAAGGACTTCCCGGAACCAGACCCTCCCTGGCCGCCCCGCAGGAGCCCCGTGGGGTGCTCTGGGGCGCATTGCCCAGGGCCGGACGGAGGGTGGATGCGAGGACCACGCACCTGAGCCGTAGCTGACGAGGTCCACGCCCAGCGCGGGGCTCTTGCGTTTGCGCGGCCGGCCCTTGGGCACGGTGCCGGAGCCGTTGAAGTAGGGCAGGGCCAGGCCGCCGCCCTTGGCCGCCAGCTCGGTGTAGCTGAGCGGGGCCGCGGCTGGGTACTCGGCCTGCAGCAGCGCCTCGAAGTGCGCGCGGCAGTACACCAGGCGGTCCTTCATGCCGAAGTGGTCGCCGGTGGCCAGCGTCTTGCTGCAGGTGGAGCAGGTGAAGCAGCTCAGATGGTAGACGGCGTCCCGCGCCCGCATCACCATCTCCGAGGCCGAGATTCCCAGGTGGCAGCGGGCGCACCGCTGCACGGAGAACCTTCTGGAAGGGAAAAGGAGTCGGGGAGTCAGGGCGCACGCGGCCGGGGTGGAGGCCGAGGCAGGGCCGTCTCCCCATGAGGGACACCACGAGGGGCTGAGGGGGCCAGCAGTGGCCATTCATTGCATCTGCTAATTTGTCCTTTTGGGGATCCACCGAGCAAAGAATCCTTCCGGTCCAGCAGCTGGTCCTAAGCTTCCTTCTTTGTACAATGGAGGTTTTTTTTAAAAATATATATATATATTTTTATTTGAGGTCGGAGAGGACGGGAGAGAAAGAAGCATCCACGAGGAGAGAGAATCACTGATGGGCCGCCTCCTGTTTGCCCCGCACAAGGGATGGAGCCCGAAATCCGGGCCTGAGCCCTAGACCAGGGAATTAGCCGAGACCTCCTGGAGTTGATGCCCCTGAGCCACTTGGACCAAGTTTTTTTTTGTGTGTGTTTGTTTTAGAGAAAATAAAACGGCCCCAACCGGTTCTGCTCGGTGGATAGAGCGTCAGCCTGCGGACTGAAGGGTCCTGGGTTCGATTCCGGTCAAGGGCATGTGCCTTGGTGGCGGACATATCCCCGGTGGGGGGTGTGCAGGAGGCGGCCGATGGCTGTTTCTCTCTCATGGATGTTTCTGGCTCTCTCTCCCTCTCCCTTCCTCTCTGCGGAAAATCAATAATATATATTTTTTTCTAGAAAAAGAAAATAAAACAGCAGCCTCTGCACTCGCTGACTCGCCACGGATGGAATCGCCCTGCGATTGCAACGCAAGTGGAAACGGCTCCGGGCTCCAAAGTTCTAACCGCGTCGCTCAGGGGGCTGCGCGCGGAGCGGGTCCCCAGCGCGCGCTCTCCATCCCCTTCCCCTCGGAGGGCGACGGGCGGCGGAGGAACACACTACCCGCTCCGGGCAGCCTGCAGTCCCCCCAGCGGGGACGGACGGGCCAGGAACTGGGCTGCCTGGCTCTGGGCTGGGGCAGTCCTACCTTCCCAAGTCATTGATGGGGTACCCCCCCCCAACACCCCCCAGCCGCCCTCACCCAATCAGCAACGCCCAGCGGCTGCGGGGCCAGAGCTACGGTTTGGGTCTAAGGCGCAGCCCTCGCCCAAATTCGTAGTAAACGGAAAAAAAAAAAACAAAACAAACACCCCGCGTTCGCAGAAACCGGTGTGGCTCAGTGAATAGAGCGGCGGTCTGCTGACTGAAAGGTCCCAGGGTTCGATTCCGGTCAAGGGAATGCACCTTGGTTGCCAGCACATCCCCAGTTGGGGGAGGGGGGCGCAGGAGGCAGCTGATGGATGTTTTTCTCTCTCATTGATGTTTCTAACTCTCTATCCCTTTCCCTTCCTCTCTGTAAAATATTATATATAGATATAGATATATAGATATAGATATAAATATACATATATATATTTAATCCACGCTTTTCACCTGGGAGAACCGCGAACCATTACTCCACTCAGACTTGCAGGCGGGGTCCCCTCCTCGCCCTGCGAGGGGCCGGCTCACACGGGGATCCCTGCACATCCCGGTCCTCCACCTCCCCCTCAACCTAACGGTCCGCCTTGGAGCTGCTGATGGAAGCGGACACAGCGGACTTCCCTGGTCTCCAGTCCCCTAATGGGTCCCCGAAGGGGAGGGCGAAAGACAGGGGGAGTGGGGTGCGTGGGGCGGGGGACCCCCGGGCAGGGGCGCACGGGGGTCCCTGGCCATCCCGGCTCCCCATCTCCCTCCCCCCCAACCTAACGATCCGCCTTGGGGCTGCTGATGGAATCAGACGCAGCCGGTTTCCCTGGTCCCCGGTCCCCCTAACCGGTCCCCAAAGGGCTGAGAGGCCTGGGGAGCAGAGCGCGCGGGGAGGGGTGCCCTCCGGGCAGGGGCGCACAGGGGTCCCTGCCCATCCCGACCCCCCATCTCCCCCGCTACCTAACGGTCTGCCTTGGGGCTGCTGATGGAAGTGGACACGCGGGTTTCCCTGGTCCCCGGTCCCCCTCACCGGTCCCGGAAGGGACGAGAGGCGGGGCGGGGAGCCCCGGGGAGGGTGCCCGGCCGGCGGGTGCGCAGACCTGTAGTAGTCCTCCTTGCAGTAGATGCTGCCATCCTTGGCGAAGCAGGTGAGCTCGGACTCCAGCGCCAGCTTGCACTCGCAGCACTGCAGGCAGCGCAGGTGCCACTGCTTGTCCACGGCCAGCAGGTAGTAGCGGTCCGCGATCTTCCCGCCGCAGCCGGCGCACAGCGCGGGCTTCTCCGGGCTCAGCGGGGGCAGGCCCTGCGGGGGGGGGGGGAGAGCCAGGGCAGAGGTGAGGGGGCGCGGGCCACGGGATAAAGGGGGGCTGGGGCCCAGGACCCAGGGCCGCGGAGTGAAAGGGGCGCGGAACGCAGGAGCGAGGGCGCGCGGGGGACCCTGGGTGCCAACGCGCCACAGCGCACAGCGCACAGCGCACAGCGGAAACCTTCGCTCCATCCCTTCCCGTTAGCCTCACCACCTTCCCGCCTCTTCCCCGGACCGCCGGCCACCGAGCCTCTTTGGAAAAATCCTGAACGCGCACAAGAAGGACTGTTTGGGGCCTGTTTCCAAACAAGACGGAAAAGGAGCCAAACCGGTGTGGCTCCGTGGATAGAGCGTCGGCCTGCGGACTGAAGGGTCCCAGGTTCGATTCCCGGTCAAGGGCATGGACCTTGGTTGCAGGCACATCCCCGGTGCAGGGTGTGCAGGAGGCAGCGGATGGATGTTTCTAGTTCTCTACCCCTCCTCTCCCTTCCTCTCTGTAAGGAATCAATAAAATATATATTTTTAAAGATGGAAAAGGATGAAAAGTGTGGCTTTCAAAGCAGGCCGAGCAAAACCAGGGGCCCTGCTGTCTTTGGGGAGCGGGGAGAGGGCTCCCACAGGCGCGGATTGTTTGTAAACAAACGGGGTCACAACTGTGTCCAAATCCCGGGGAGCAGCGGCAGCAGGATGGGGAGGTTTTATACCCCGGCTCCGGCTCCTGGTTTGGGCCCCAGTTCTGATGGGGTGAACGGGGCAGAAGTGGTTTTGCCTGGTTCCCAGGGACCTGGTCCTCTCTCTGGTCGGGGTGGGAAGCGGGGGTCCCGGGGAGGGAGTGCCCTGGGGGGGTACCCCCTCCGCAGCCCCCAGCGCACACCCAGACCTTCCTCCTAAGACAGCAGTTTGTTGATCAAATTCAACTCCCCGCCTGGTCCCCGCTGAGGACTGAGGACACGGGAAACCGCCCCGATTATGGGGAACCCCGCTGGGGAAATGTGGGGTGCTGGCTGTTTGTCTGAAAACGGGGTGACCCTAACACAGGGGCTGGAGAGGCTGCGCTCTGGCCATTTCCTTCCAGACTTTTCGGGAAACTTTTCCCGGAAAAGCCACGTTTCGCCCTCAACTCAGACCCGGGGGCCCAAGCGCTGAATTCGGGGTTTAAATGAGAAAATATCCACCCGCGGGGCGCTTTGGGGAGAGGGAAGGGGGACCCCAAAGGCGGCTGAGCGGCCCCCCATGAGTCTGAGCTGGGGTCCCCGCAGGTCCTGATTTTTGTAGTTTTTCCCTCCGGGTTCACGGTCCGGTCTGGGGTCCGGTTCCTAGCGGGAAGCGGCAGCTCAGATGTAATCAATGGGTTTTCTTTATGGGGCGGACTTGCCTGTGAATGGCAGGACCAGCAGCGACGGGAAAAAGTCGTTTTTTAAATTCGTTCTCGCCCAAAAAAGTCTTTAAAAAAAAAATTCGTCCTCGCCCCGAAAAAGTCGTTTTTAAGTTCATTCTCGCCCCCCAAAAAATCATTTTTTAAAAGTTTGTTCTCGCCCCAAAAATCATTTTTTTAGTTCCTTCTCTCCCGGGCCACGCGCCCCGCTCCGCCGGCTGTTCCGTTAGGTCTCCGGGCACATCCTCTGGGTCCGGGTCCGGCTGGGAGCGCACGGTGCGCCGTCCTGACCCGCTAGCGGGGCGGGTCTGAGCTGCCGGGACCCCGAAAACCGCTGCTTTTGGGGCGCCCGGCTCCGGAGCAGCAGCGGGGACCCGCCTTCCTAATCTGACCCAAAGGCCCGGAGCCCCGGGATCCTGGCTCCCGCGTGGCCCGGACGCCTGGGCAGCCCTGGCTCTGGCCCCGGGCAGCCGAGGGGCGCTGGCTGGGACCCCAGTCTCAGGTCCCAATCCCCTAGCTACGGGACCCCCTGCGCGTCTGGGGATGGCGAGCGCGGGGGTCTCCATGGCGGATGGAGAGGTTTCCCGGCGGAAAGAGGCGGGAGCGGAGCCCCGAAAACCTCCCCACCCGCCATCCGGGCCCCCCCATCCTCCCGGGGCGCGGGGACCCCCCATCCTCCCGGGCCCGGGGACCCGGACCCCCATCCTCCCGGGCGCGGGGACCCCTCATCCTCCCGGGGCGCGGGGACCCGGACCCCCATCCTCCCGGGCGCGGGGACCCGCCATCCTCCCTCCCGGGGCGCGGGGCGCGGCTGGCACGGCGGGGGCCCTCTTACCGGGTCGCCGCGGCCGCCGAGCGGCGCGCCCTTGGCCAGGCGGGCGTCGCCCTTGGACCGGCGCTCCATCTCCTCCACGAGGCCCTGGAGGTGGCCGCCGGGGAGGCCGTGGAAGAGCATGGCTGCGGGGCGGGAGGGACACGCTTGGTCTGCGGCCCGGCGCCCCGCGATCTCCATGGACGCGCGCCCGGGGCGGGGGGCTCAGCGGCGCATCCGGGGGCAGAGCCCCCGGGGAGGGAGGGACCGGCCGGAGGGAGGGCGCGGGCAAGGATGGACAGCGAGCTGCTTTGGGGAAGAAAAAGGAAGGCGAGGGAACCAAACAGAGGGAAGAAAAACAGAGAGAAATCACCCCAAACCCGGCTGCTCCGGCGGCGGCGCCGGGAGCGCAGAGCCGCCGGGAGCGGGGACCCCAGGGCGGGAGGGAGGGAAGGAGGGAGGGAGGGCGCGGGAGGAGGCAGGGGAGAGGGAAAGCGACCTGCTTTGGGGAGAAAAAAGGAAGAGAGGGAACAGAGGGAAGAGGAAAAGGAAAAAGAGAAGAAAATTCACCCCAAACCGGCGCTCCCCGCGGCCCCGCGCAGGAACCAGCAGCCGCGCGGGGGGCGATCCAGCCACTGAGGAGCCGCGGGGGGCGCGGGGGACCCGGGTCCGGAGCACAAAGCGCGGGGAGGGCGCCCCGTCCGTCCGCCGGGCGGGTCCGGCGCTGCGGGCCGGCTGCGTGCGGACTGCGCTGCCCGCGGCCACTGCGCTCCGAGCGGAGCAGCCCAGCTCGGCGGGCGATGGGGAGGAGGGGGAGGAGGAGGGGGGGGGAGAAGGAGGAGGAGGAGGAGGAGGAGGAGGAGGAGGAGGAGGAGGAGGAGGAGGAGGAGGAGGGGGAGGAGGAGTTGTTCTCTCTCCGGAGCCGCCAGGGCTGCTCCCCCCCTTTTTTCAGACAACAAAGACCTGTCATCCTCCCCCCCCACGGGCACGCGGGGACACACAGGGCCGAGGGGGGGTGGGGGGCGTGGGAGGGGGGCTTCCTGTGTCCCTGCTGCCCCAGCGCAGCGCGTGCACAGATACAGACACACAGACACACACACACACAGACACTCACACACACACAGACACACACACACACAGACACACACACACACACTCACACACAGACACACACACACTCACACACAGACACACACACAAAGACACACAAACACACACACACTCACACACTCACACACACAGAGACACACACACAGAGACACACAAACATAGACACTCTCACACACAGAGAGACACACAAACACACACAGACACACACTCACACACTCACACAGACACACACACAGAGACACAGACAGACACACATAGAGAAACAAACACACAGACACACTCACACACATTCACACACAGACACACAAACAGAGACACACAAACACACAGACACACACTCACACACAGAGAGAGACACAAACACACTCACACACACTCACACACAGACACACACATACACACACTCACACACACATACAATCACATTCGCACACACACTCAAACACACACAGATACAGACACACACACTCACACACACACACTCACACTAACACAGACACACACACTCACACACACTCACACTAACACAGACACACACACTCACACAAACACAGACACACACACTCACACACTCTCACACTCACACACACTCACACACACACCCTCCCTAGGCTCTGGGCCATCACATTTTAAAAAGGAGCCTTCTCCTCCCGCCAGACTGGCCACTGGTCCCAGTTCACCCAGTTCCCGGCGCTTCCAGGCCCAGAGGCGGCTCCTCCGGGCTGGCTGGGCCCGCTTCCGCCCCAGAGAAGTCCAGGCTAGTGGGCCACCCTGTCCCTCCCACCCCCGCCCTCCACTTGGGGGTTCTAAGCAGGTCGCCCCTCCCTTCCCAAGGGGACCCCAAGGGGGCCTCGGGCTGGGCCGCCCGCCCCACACCCACCCACCCACGTGCTGCCAGAGTTGACTTTTGGGGGAAGGTTGTTCTTGGGGGGAGTCAGGGTGGAGAGGGGGTGTCGCCTGGGGGATTCAGGGTGCCCCTGGCCCTGGCCCTGGAGAGATGGGTGTCTGACTCTCTTAGCGGGTCGGGTCTGAGGGACCTGGGCCCCCCTTGGACACGTGTCCGTGCGGGCAGCGCTGAGCTGGGGACTCCCGTGAGCTGGGCTCGCCTGCTGCCCGGAGTCCCCACTGCCCAGGGGGACAGGGGGCCAGAGACCCCGCCCAGGGTGCGTTTAGGAGGATGTGAGGGGGCTGGGCTCCTGGCTGGGGAGCGGGGAGGTGAGCGCTGGCCGGCACCTCACACGTGGCCACACCGTGCTGTCTCCCTGGCTCGGGCACCCCTCCTCAGCCCCACCACGGTCCAGGGGGGATGGTCAGCTCATTCCAACCACCAGCCGCCCCCGCCGCTGGGAATGGGGGGGGGGGGCTGCAGGAATGGGGCCGGCTTGGAAAGGAGAGGAGGAGGCCAGCTGCTGGCTGCCTCCCTCCCTCTGGCCCCCTGGGTCCCACCCTCCCCGGCCACCCCAGGAGCAGAGGGTGGTGCCCTCACACATCCTGGGCCCCTCAGGGGAGTCCCCCGGGGGTCCACTCCCTTCCCTCTGCAGGAGGGACCAGGCACTTCGCCAAACCTGGAAGGATGGAGGGAGAGGAAGAGGAAGAGGAAAGGAGGGAGGGAGGTAGAGAAGAAGGGAGGAAGGGAGAGAGGGAAGAGGGAGGGAAGAGGGAGGGAAAATGGGAGGGAGAGAAAGAACGAGAGAGGGAAGGGGGTTGGGAGGGGAAAAAGGAAGAGGGAGGGGAGGGAGGAAGGAGGGAAGGGGAGAGGAAGAGAGGGAGGAAGGAAGGAGGGAGAGAGGCACGAAGGAGGGGCAGAATGGGAGGAGGGAACCCTTCCTAAGACGTCCTATTCTGAAGCTGCCATGGTCACCCCTTCCATGACCCCCGAGTCTGCCCTCCCCACCCCGTTCGTTTCTCAGGAATCAGAGCTAATGCCGTTTGCAGACTGGACGCCGGGAGGTCCCCGGGTGCCAGAATGTGGCTCCGAAAACACAATTTCACACAAAAAACGAAGCCAATCAAGCGGACTAAGCCGGGGCCCCCCCCCCCGCCCCCCCAAGCCGGGCAGCCAGGCCGCCAGCGGGTGGCTATTTACTGTAAGTAACGCAATTAGGCTCTCTGGGCCGAAATCAATGAGCTTCGCAAATCCCCGCGCCGGCTGTGAGCTCAGGGAAGGGCTGGGGAGGGCCCGGGGCAGCCCCCCTTCCCCAGACAGCAGGTCCTGCACAAAGCGGAGATGGCCCCCCACAAGCCAGCAGGCAAAAGGACTCAGGCCGGAGGAGGAGGAGGAGGGGGGGGGAGTAAGAGGAGGAGGAGGAGGAGAGGAATATCTCTCCATTCCCGGAAGGAGACTCCAGGAGATGGGAAATGTGGGACCTCCATCCAGGACCTGCTCTCCTGTTTCTGAGCTGAATTCTTGCTTCCCACCCCTGACACCCGCCCCCCCAGGCACCTCCTGCCCAAATGGGGGTTTGGGATTCGGTTTGGCTGTCCTTGGATTTGGGGTTCCAGAAGCTCCGGGCAAACAACAAAGGCCCCGCAAGAATAAATCTCTCCTCGTACGCGGTGGAAGTTTGGAGACTCGGGGAGGGGAAGAGTTGGCAGCAGCGTCAGGGAACAAAGCCTGAACGGCCGTGGCTCAGGGGTTGAGCTTGACCTATGAACCCGGAGATCGGGGTTCGAGTCCCAGTCAGGGTTGTGAGCTGGATCGCCAGCGTGGATGTTTCTCTCTCTCTCTCAGTTTCCTTTCCCCTCTGACATCAATAAAAGAATTTTGTTTTTAACGTCCAGGACAGGAAAAAACAGAGGCCCATCAGCCTTCCATCCACTCTTTCATTCACTCACTCACTCACTCATTCATCCACTCATTTAATCATCCATCCATCCATTCACTCACTCACTCATCCATCCATCCATCCACTCTCTCACTCATCCATCTACTCATCTATTTACTCATCCATTCACTCACTCATTCATTCACTCACTCATTCATTTACTCACTCATTGATTCACTCATTCATTAATCTACTCCTCCATCCATCCTTCCATCCACTCACTCATCCATATACTCATTCATTCACTCATTCATTCACTCACTCATTAATCCACTCATCCATCCACCCATCCATCCATTCACTCACTCATCCATATACTCATTCATTCACTCACTCACTCACTCACTCACTCATCTCTCTGCTAACACCTATTTGTGCTTCCTCTCTCAGCTCTGGGAAAGCGGGCACCTTCTGGAAGCAGTTTCCGGGCGGGATCCCGGCTCCGCCTGCTTCTCCTTATAAAAGTCGGTAATGAGTTCCTGCGCCCCGGGGGTGTGCCACTTCCCCTGAGGAGGCAGACCGGACCCCTCCCTCTAGCTCTGCCTCCAGGAAGCTAGCGGGGAGCCGGGGGCGGCGGGGGGCTGTCCAGGGGTCGGGAGGTCCAGGGTAGGTCCACGGATATGACACCCCAGCCTCCCGCTCCGGTTCCTTCAAGGGGAAGGAGGAGAGGGTACCCCAAGGATGTGAGTGTGTGGCCTGGGGTGTCCTAGCTGTTTTGTCGGGGAGCCCCGGAAAATTACCCAAAGAGGGAGCCCTCCTGGCCACCCCTCAGGCTCAAAGGACTTGACGGGACCGTCCTGGAGGCTCTGCCTTCTCCCCGCTTTGGGTACCCTAAAAGCCGCCCGCCTCGCCCAAGGCCCAGAAGCCAGGGCCAGTCTCCAGGGGAAACCAAAGCTCCCTTTGGGGCAGGGAGGCCGGATTCTGGGCACCTGCACCCCGCTTTCCCTGCGGTTCCGGGGTACAGCGCATCGGGGTTCAGCGCACGGGGCTGGGAGATTGCGGGGGCGCAGGCGCTGGACCCACAAATGAAAAAAATGCCATCCCGTGGGACCCAACGGGCCATGCCCTGGCCTCTTGTTCTGAGGACATGACTCTGAAGACAGGGAGTATGAAGCGAGACAATTACGTCCACGCTTTGCAAGTAGATACTAAAGAAATGTATGCTACCAAGTGGAATCCGACAGGACGAGGTACAGAATGACCCACATGCCAACCTCCGGGCTGCAGGGAGCTGGCGGGGAGGCGCCGGGGTCTGGAAGGGATGGTGCGGGCTCTGGGCGCCCGGGGACCCCAGGAGCCAGTGATGTCCTGGTTTGGGTACCCCGCACAGAGCTGCACGGAGCGCTGACCACCCAGCACTGGGCGCCCGGGTGCATTGGGCGGGACTGGGAACCGCCAGGCAGCCTCCAGTCCACGGACAGAGGGGGACCCCTCTGTGCCAACCTCCCTTTCCCTCCCCCCAGCGAGGGTGCAGGTCCCGGCTGGACTCTCCCGGGAGGAAGGATCCGCTGGGAATGAGCTGGGGGCTCAGCTGCCAGGAGGGGACCCCGAGCACCCAGCCCGGCTCCCCCCGGTCCGCGCCCCTGGCCAAGCCCCTGGCCAAGCCCCCGCCGGCCACCTGCTCCCTCCCTCCTGGGCCCCGGACGCTCCCCCCCCCCCCCCTAGGCCAGGACCAGGCGCTCGGATCCCCGCAGTCCCTTTCCCTGATTTGGGGCGGGGGGACACGGGGCGCACCCGGCCCGCGCCCGCCGGCCGGCTGCGCGGGGGTTGGAGGCGGGGCAGCTGTCTCCCCGGGGCCCCCACCGCTTCCCGGGAGGATCCGGGCGCAGCCGCCACGCGTGAGCCGCTCTGGGCTCCGGGCACCGCGGCCCCGGCCCCGGTCTCCCTCCCGGACACTCGGAGAGACCGGACACTCAGCTGATGTCTGCGCCCACCCTGCCCGGCGGTTCTAAACGCAACCCTCTCCCTCCAGCCAGAGGAGGCGCACAGGCGTGGACACACAGACACTCACACACTCAGACACACACACAGACACACACACACACACACACACACACACACACACACACACACACACACACACACACAGGCATGCACACAGGCGGTGCGCGCCGGCCCGGAGGAAGAGGAACCGGGAAAGCGCGGCGCCCGCCCAGCTCCCGGCTCCCGCTCCCCGCCTCCCGCGCCGCCCGGGGGTCGGAGCCCGGAGCCCGGGGCCGGGGGGAGCCGGAGCGGGGCCGCCAGCCGCGGGGGAGGCGGGAGCGGCCTCCTCCCTCCCCTCCGCGCGGGTCCCGGAGCCTCAGAGCCGCGGGGCGCAGGGCCCGGTGCGCAGATGCCGGAGCGCCCGCCTTCCCTCCTCCGCGCCGGGCAGCCCCGCCACCGGGCTCCCCTGGGGCTGGGGTCCCCCAGAGCCCGGCCCCGGGGAGGGGGGGGGCGGGGAGGGCGGCCGGGCCCGGGTCTCCGCGGTTCCCTCTGTGAATCCAAACACACAAACTGCTGGATGGGAAACCTCTCTCTCCCCTCCTCCCTCCCCTCCCTCTTTCTCTCCCATCCCGCAGCTCCCTCCGCCGCCTTTTATTTCTGTCTGTGCTTTTGGAGGAGGAGGAGAAGGAGGAGGAGGAGGAGGAGGAGGAGGAGGAGGAGGAGGAGGAGGAGGAGGAGGAAGGAGAAAGGAGGAGGAGGAAGGAGAAAGGAGGAGGAGGAGGAGGAGGAGGATGGAAGGAAGGAAGGATGGATGGATGGATGGATGGATGGATGGATGGATGGATGGGTGGGTGGATGGGTGGATGGATGGATGGGTGGATGGGTGGATGGGTGGGTGGATGGGTGGGTGGATGGATGGGTGGGTGGATGGGTGGAGGAATGGATGGGTGGAGGAATGGATGGGTGGAGGAATGGATGGGTGGATGGGTGGGTGGATGGAGGAAAGGATGGATGGAGGGAGGAAGGGAGGGGAGCCGGACGGGTGTTCTGGGGTGCGCTCTGCCGTGGTAGGCAGGTGGGCACCGAGGCCTATCTCCAGCCCGGCCTGGCAGGCAGGGGGGACGCGCGAGGGAAGCGGGGCCTCTGGCTAACAGTCTCTCGCAGCAGAGAGCGCCTAGTGGGGCCGCAGCAGAGACCCAGGCGGCCCGGGTGCTGGGGAACCTTCCCGATCAGCTGGGAGGCCGCTGAGGGTCCGCTGTGGGCACAGCCTGTCCTCCGGGGCGGGAGCTGCTCAGAGGGGAGCGGGGTGTGGGCCAGAGGGGCCCCGAGCGCCTGCCCAGGCGGAGACGGAGCCTGGGCCTCCCGGCACCTGGGAGATGCAGAGCCCCAGGCAGGGACTGAGGGGCGCTCTCATCGAGGCGGCCGGCGGCCTGGCCCAGGCGGTGATTTACGGTCCCCGGGGAGAACAGATGGGGGATGAGCGTTCCTGGTGGCGGGAGGGCCCGCTGGCCGCTCGGCCGCTGCTGCAGGCACAGCTTTACCGCGTCCCGGGATGGAGCCCGGAGCTTGGGATAGCGACGCGGTGACGCCGTCCCCGGGCCCCCTCCACCCCACTTGCCAGCCGCCGCCTGGGCCGCTGACCCCGAGGAGAGAAACCCGCGGGAGCTCGGAGCTCCGGGAGGGTCTGATGCCGCCGGATCGCGCCTCTGCCTTTAGGGGAACCGCCGTTATTTCCTGGCTTTGGCACGCATGTGTGCACGCGCGCGCGTCTGTGTGTGTGCATGTGTGCACGTGCATGTGTCTGTGTGCATGTGTGTGCGCATACCCGTGTGCATGTGTCTGTGTGTGCATGTGTGAAAGTGTGTGTGTGCGTGCATGCGTGTGTGCGCGCGCGCGTGTGCATGTATGCATGTGTCTGTGTGTGCGTGTGTGAAAGTGCGCGTGTGCGTGTGTGCATGTGTGTGTGTGTGTGTGTGTGTGAGAACGAGGTGCCAGCAGCATAACCCGCGGCCACGCTGGAAACGCCAACATTTGATCGCTTTTTCTCATTTTATTGATGTTCTTTTATTTTTTTAACTTTTATTTTATTTATTTTTATTTTTTTAAAGCGTTGCAAACACTCATATACCCTTCATTTATTTTATTTATTGATCTATTTTTAAAAAAATATATTTTATTGATGTTTTACAGAGAGGAAGAGAGAGGGATAGAGAGTTAGAAACATCGATGAGGGAGAATCATCCATCAGCTGCCTCTTGCACGCCCCCCACTGGGAATGCGCCTGCAACCAAGGTACATGCCTCTGACTGGAATCGAACCCGGGACCTTTCAGTCCGCAGGCCGACGCTCTACCCACTGAGCCACACCGGTTTTGGCTTATTGATGTTCTTTTAATACACACACACACACACACACACACACACACACACACCCTTGCAATTAAATCAGTGCTCAAGCACTCAGAGCCGAGAGCAATTCTGAGTTGAGATGTTGGGTGTTTTTTGTTTGTTTGTTTGTTGTTTTATTGATTATGGTATTTTTAAAATGAGGCTGCACGAAGTGGCTGTCAAACGTAGAAACAGGAATTGAATCTCTTCCTCTTAGCGGGGTCCTGCACGTTGGCCTGGCCGTAGGGGCACTGCGGGGGAAGGAGACAGGTTGTTAACGACTCCCCTGGCTGCTGCTGGCTCCGGTGAACAAAGGGGGCCGGGGCCACGTGACCAATTTGATCTCTCGGGTCCTGCAGAGCGAGAGGGGGAATCGGGAGGAATCGTCCCAATCAGGGTCCCAGAGTCACTAGGTCCTAGGAGCTGTGAGGTTTCACGGCCGAAAGCTCGCCCGTAGACAAACCCCAGGCCCCCTGTCAGCGGAGTCTTAGGCGCTTCAGTCCGACAGACAATGGCACAGGTGGGGACACGCATAAAAGCGGAGGCCTCGCTGGCCACGCTGGCCACGGTCAGCACGCGGCCTCCGCGTCCCCTCCTCCGTCAGGAAGTGGGTCAGTTGGAGGGAATGACGCTCTGAGCCAGGCAGTCAGAGCGGCCGGCACCCACTCGTCTCCGTGGCCATGCGCCCGGAGAATACATTCCCGTTTCTCAAAGTTACAGAAACGGAAAAGCCATTCTCGTTTCTTTCTTTCTTTCTTTCTTTTTTTATTTTTATTTTTATTTATTTATTTATTTTTTTGCTTAAAATGGGGAAGGAGTGGTTGGTTCATCTCCATCGCTGTGCTTAGAGATGTATATTCACCGACAGAAACATTTTATTCCTAAATGTGGTTTGGGGTAGTGTCATGGTTAAAGACAGAGCAGAAAGATGACAGAAAGAATGAGAAAGTGGCAGAAGAGGAAGAGGAGGGAGGGGAAGAGGAGGGAGGAGGAGGAGGAGGAAGAGGAGGAGGAGGAAGAGGAGGAAGAAGGTGGAGGAGGAGAAACAGGAGGAGGAAGAGGGAGAGGAAGAGGAAGAGGGAGAGGAGGAAGGGGAGGAGGAGGGGAGGATGAGGAGGAAGAGGAGGGGGAAGAGGAGGAAGAGAAAGAGGGAGGAGGATGAGGAGGAAGAAGGTGGAGAAGGAGAAAGATGAGAAGGAGGAGGAGGAAGAGGAGGAGGAGGAGAAGGAGCAGGAGGAGGAGGGAGAGGAGGAAAAAGGGAGCAGGGAAGGAAGGGAGGAAGGGACTAACGAGAGAAAACCGTTATCATTTAACGGGATCCCCGCCTGCCGTGCCGGGCGCGCTTCTGTGGCTTCCGCTCACGGCGGGCGATGAAAGGAAAGGCCGTCTGGGCTCCGGCCTGCAATATCCCGCTCCCTCTCCTGCCCCTTTGAACTCACCGTGAGCGGCTCGTTTAAAGCCTCGTGAAAAAGGTTCCCCGAGAGTGAAGCGCTCCCACCCCAGGCCTCCCGTCCGGCGGCGGCCGCGGGGCCACGTTGGCAGACGCCATCAGGCAGGTTTAAAGGCCTCGCCGGCCCGCTGGCCTGGCTGTCCGGCCCGGCGCTCCGGGCCCGTTTCGTGCTTTTTATGTGGCCTGTTGTGCCCGTAACGGGCGTTTATGGAGTCCCGGGGGCTGGCACTCACGTGTCTGCAGGCCGAGCCGCAGCACCGGCCCCTCTGCTCGTGGGCCAGCCGCGTGAGCACCAGGTAGCCCGTGGCCGGGTCCACGTAGGTCAGCTGCTGGGCCTGCGGGGTCGTCGAGAAATAAAACGATCCTTTGGTCTCCACCTTCGCCTTTTCTCCTCATCCACATTCTACCCACAAAATAACTACCGACAAAATAGCACAATAACTGCCCAGTGCTCTGAAAGCGAGATGGCCCCGGCCGGCGTGGCTCAGGGGTGGAGCATCGACGTAGGAACTGGGAGGTCCTGGTTCGGTTCCCGGTCAAGGGCACAGGCCCGGGTGGCGGGCTCCATCCCCAGGGTGGGGCGTGCAGCAGGCAGCCGGTCCGTGATTCTCTGTCATGATGGATGCTTCTCTACCTCTCTCTCTCCCTCTCCCTTCTTCTCTGAAATCAATTAAAAAAAAAAAAATTAAAGCCGTAGCCGGTGTTGCTCAGTGGATAGAGCGTTGGCCTGCGGACTGAAGGGTCCCAGGTTCGATTCCATCCGGTCAAGGGCATGGACCTGGGTGGCGGGCACATCCCCAGCGGGGGGTGTGCAGGAGGCAGCGGATGGATGTTTCTCTCTCATCGATGTTTCTGACTCTCTCTCCCTCTCCCTTCCTCTCCGTAAAAAAAAATCAATAATATATATATATGTTTTTTAAATATTAAAAAACAAACAAAAACAAACCCCCAATAGGAACCTCTCCCAAGCAATTTCAGGGCCCTTAGCAATCCAAGAACACATTCCAATGTGATGCAGGAGGCAACTTCATGCGGAGGGAGGAAATACCCAGCTGGGGGGGCCTGGGGGAGTCTGGGAGGGGGGATTGGGGGGGGGGTGGACGGGCAAACAAGCAGCCCTCTGTGCCCGGCCCTGTTCCCCTCGCCCCGGGCGCAGGTCTCCGAACAGGTGGCTTCAGAGACTCGAACTTCAGAGGCTGCAATCCAGCTCCCGCTCAGAAGTGGCGCCCGGAGCTCGGGGGGAAATATGTGGCCGGTGATTGGAACGGACAGGAGAGGCGCTAATGGGGGTCGCCGCTATGGCCGCTTCTCGCCGCCCGGTGACGGGGCCGCGCCGAGGGCTCGGCGCTGTTTGCTTTCGGGGGGTGATTAGTTCTGTTTTTACACACACCCCCCCCCCCCCCCGCGCACACAGAAACCCCGCATTGTTTGACCCATGTTAACACTCCCTCCGTTCACCGGTTTGATCAAAAGCAACTTTGATTTGTATTTTATTTTTCTGTTATTAATCACCGGAGGATAATTTTGTCCATGGATTTTTACCTTTTTATTTTTATTTTTTAAAAAAAATATATTTTATTGCTTTTTTACAGAGAGGAAGGGAGAGGGAGAGAGAGCTAGAAACGTCGATGAGAGAGAAACATCGACCAGCCGCCTCTTGCACGCCCCCCCCCCCCCCCCCGAGGATGTACCCGCAACCAAGGTCCATGCCCTTGACTGGAATCGAACCCGGACCCTTCAGTCCGCAGGCCGATCCACTGAGCCGCACCGGTCAGGGCTCCATGGATTTTTAGAGAGAGGGAGGGAGGGAGGGAGGAGACACACAGAGAGAAGCATCGATGAGGGAGAGACAGCCATGGTTACCTCCCACATGTGCCCTGGCCAAGGCCAGAGATCCGGCCCCGACTGAAGCACATGCCACACGCCGCAGAGAGACACACCGTACACAGACGCACACACACACACAGAGTACTCGGAAACAGACAGAAAGACAGACACGCATACTCAGACACACACACACACACACACACACACACCCGCCCCGGAGTGATGATGTTCAGCTCATGCACTGGTCAGTCGCACTCATTCTCAGCTCAGACAGACAGACGTTAGCTCTCAGCCCCCGACCCTGACCTAACCCTAACCCAACTCTAACCCTAATCTAACCCTAGCCCTAACCCGTAACCGGGGAACTGCTAACCAGGAAACTGTTAATTAGTAACTGGGCAACTGGTAACCTCTAACCGGATAACCACCAACAGGGTAACTGGTTACCATTAATCAGGTAACTGGTGACCAGGTAACTGGTGACCGTTAATCAGGTAACTGGTAACCAGTAACTGCTAACCGGTAATCACGTAACCGGTGACCGTTAATCTCGTAACTGGTGACCGCTAACCGTGTAACTGGTAACCAGGTAACCGATGACTGTTGATCAGGCAACTGGTGATCGGTAACCGCTAACCACTAACCGGGTAACTGGTAACCGTTAATCAGGTGACCGGTGACCGCTAACCGGGTAACTGGTAACCAGGTAACCGATGACTGTTGATCAGGTAACTGGTAACCGGTAACCGCTAACCGGGTAACTGGTGACCGGTGACCGCTAACCGGGTAACTGGTGACCGGTATTGATTGGCCGGCGGGCAGGAAGCCGCTTCTGTCAGAGGCCTGAGTCCCGCCCTCCTTCTGGGAGGGGACCCAGGGAGGGGCAGGGGGCGGGGCAGAGGCCTCACCGCGCAGGCGCAGGGGCCGCGGGGCGCAGGGGGCGGGGCCTCACCGCGCAGCCGCAAGCGGGCCACGAGGGGGGGCGCAGGGGGGTGGGCCTCACCGCGCAGGCGCAGGGGTCGCGGGGCGCAGGGGGCGGGGCCTCACCGCGCAGGCGGCCGCGTGCAGGTCGGCGATCCGCCGCTCGGCCGCAGTCAGCGCCGCGCGCTCCGGGCGCCTCTCCGCCGCCGCCGGGCCGTCCTGCGGGCGGGGCCCGGGCCCGACGCCGCCGCGCTCTCCTCCCTCCGAAGCGGAGCGGAGCGGGGCCCCGAGGGGCTGGCGGAGCCCTGCCGACACCCAGAGGGGCCGGGCCGCCCGGGCGGCGGGAGGGCGTCCCCCGAAGGTCGCGGTCACCAGCGCCGGAACCCGCCTGGCCGCCAT